TTTATTTATTTGAAAAGCAGAGTTACAGAGAGAGAGAGACAGAGAGAGGTCTTCTATTTGCTGGTTCACTCCCCAAATTACCGCAATAGCTGGAGTTGGGCTGATCCAAAGCCAAGAGCCTGGAGCTTCTTCCAGGTCTCCCATGTGGGTGCAGGGGCCCAAGGACTTGGACTTTTACTGCTTTCCCAGGCCATAAGCAGAGAGCAGGATCAGAAGAAGAGCAGCTGGGACTTGAACTGGTGCCCATATGGGATGCCGACGCAGCAGGTGGCAGTTTTACTGCCTATGCCACAGTGCCAGCTCTGGAATGCCCCTGTGCTGTGACGTTGGCACAAATCCCAGGATATGTTTTTATTATTTTTTTAATCTTTTTTTTAAAAGATTTATTTATTTTACTTGAAAGTCAGAGTTACACAGAGAGAGGAGAGGCAGAGAGAGAGAGAGAGAGAAAGAGGTCTTCCATTCGATGGTTCACTCCCTAATTGGCCACAACAGCTGGAACTGTGCCAATCCGAAGCCAGGAGCCAGTAGCTTCTTCTGGGTCTCCCACGCGGGTGCAGGGGCTCAAGGACTTGGGCCATCTTCTACTGCTTTCCCAGGCATAGCAGAGATAGGAAGTGGAGCAGCTGGGACTCGAACTGGTGCCCATATGGGATGCCGGCGCTTCAGGCCAGGGTGTTAACCCGCTGTGCTACAGCACTGGCCCCCACAGGATATTTTTTTAAGAGGGGCAATTGGATCAGTGTCCCAGTGTAGCTTCATCTTACAAGGACCCACGTGATGCATTTCCTGAAGAAATGAGAACTGAGCCTTCGGCAGATCCAAGCATGGAGGCATGAGTCTTTCACGTTGTATGGCCTTTAAGAAGGGGTCAGCGTGAACAAGGGCCAGGCACTCACTGTCTCCATCGCATGAGCAGCTTGTGGAGGTCGCCGGCAGCCTCCCTCTGCTTCCTTCTGCATACCCTTCCCTCCTCCTCCCGCCTCCCACGCTTCTCCATAAGAGTCCTCCGGAAGCTACCGTGTGGCTCTCCCCGCTTCCAGGCAGATCTGTCTCTCTGAGCCCTGGGAGGCTGGGGTTCCTAGACACGGGCTCTCTTTACCCCCATCCCACTCAGATCTTACAGGAGGAGGTCCCAAGGGTGATCCTGGGAGAATCTTCCTAGAGTGAAGCCCAGAGGTCTCAGCTCTCCTTTGGAAGCATTCTTGTTCCTTCACCTTCAATGTCCCATATTTTCATGTTGTTATTGAAGTTTTTTAAAAAAATAATGAAAAGAACATTTATTTGAGAGGCAGAGAGAGAAAGAGAGGGGGAGAGAGATCCTATCTCTTGGTTCACTTCCCAAATGCCTGCAACAGCCAGGGATGGCCAAACTCCTTCTGGGACTCCCATGAAGGTGGCATGGGCTGAAATACTTCATCCACTGCTTTCCAGGGTGTGAGTCAGTAGGAGCCTGGATAGGAAGTGGAGTAACCAAAACTCAAACCTTGATATGGGATGTGGGTGCCCCAAGCTGCGACTTAAGCTTCTGTGGCAACTGCTCACCCCTTAGCTGACGATACCTAGCTGTGCACATGGTGGTGGAGTGTGTCCAACATAGTCTGGGTATTGAGATCTATTCCCAGAACACAGCCCACTAAATCCAGACCTAGAATTCAAACTCCACCTCTGGCTTCGAGTCTTCTCAAGTCCCCACTTCTCTGGGTGAGCTGAAGCACCTTGAATGTGCTCTAAGCTTTCACAAATGTCAAGTGGTGACCTTGGAAGGCAAGAGTGAATGCCAAGTTCAAGTCTTGGGTTCAAATCCTGGCTCTGCTGTTGGCTTTTTGGTCTCCTGAGGGTGTTTGTAAGCTCCAGTTTCCTCACTTCTGAGTTGTTCTGTGCCTGATGCACTGTAAGCACTCAATAATTATGGCTAATCCTTATTCTTATTAATTTTACTGCTCATTGAACTTCCTCAATCCAAATGTTACTGAATATAGTGGTTTCCTGGGAATGGGGCTGACGTGGAAGGAATTACCCTGGGGCTATAATGCTCATCAGAGAAGCCAATGACTAGTTGGGTAAGAGCAGTAATAGCTAACTCCAAGGCAATGATTGATGAAAGACCAGACTGAGTTGTGGGGGCAAGGTAGAGGCAGGTTTAAAATACTCAGGCATTCCTTCTGATGTGCCAAGACAGTTCTGTCTACTCCTCTAGAAACGAACCACAGGCTTGGGAATGGGTTTGGTGGTGGATTGCTCCAGGGACATCTGACTTTGCTCTGGGCGTCTGGACATAATTTACCGAGACACCTTTTATAATTTTACATGTCCTGTTCTCTGAGACCAGGAAGAGTTCAGACTCAGGGGATAAAGGGTTATTGGAGACACCTGCTGTCATCAATCTCTGTCCTCTCCAAGGCATCACAAGTCTTATGTGGAGGCCGAGATGAAAATTTGGTGTCTACTGTGAAGGCGCTAATAAGGCAGTCACTGGGCATCTCTTCCCACAATTCCTTTCTACCTTGACCACCCTCTAGACAACAGCAGTTAGTAAGAAACCACAGGAATCCTACTGGTCCCCCACTCCCTGCCTCATGGAATCAAAGTCCCTCTCTGCAAACAGTGCAGTGGGTTAGGTTGTGTAGCACAGTGGGTAGAACTGCAGGCTCCACAGGGGGATGGCCTGTATCCTGCTCTGGCCTCCCCACTTACTGGGTACTATGATTTGAATAAGATATGACTCCCGAGCTCATGCAGATGGAGAGCCCCCAAGGTCATTCATTATGGAGTAGGGGTGATAGAAACTTGATCTACTCCTAGTGACCTTTTAGGTCACTGAGGCTGTGCCCTGGGAAGGAAGTTCTTGCCAGAGGGTTGGTTATACAAGCTTGAGTTGGGTCCCGCAGTTGTCTCTGCTTCTTGGCTCTCCCACTTTCTGCACCATTTCTGTTCTCCATCCTCCCCAGATGGCTGAACCAAAGGGGTCCATCCTGGGCTTGAGCCTCCAGACCTGGGAGCCAAGTGGACCTCTCCCTTCATAATTGGCTTGTCCTGAGTATATTGTTACAGCGATGAAAGGGTGACTAATAATACACTGGCTGTACTCCCTTAGCCTCAGTCTCCCCTTACTGAAAATGGGGATAATGATGCTATACACATCATATAGTATTGTTCCAAGAAACACAAGCTACACATATAAAACACTCTGCATGAAGGAAGTACTTGCTAAATGTTATATGCTGTTGTTATTACTCCCTTTGGAGTGTGCTTTGTGATCTTCTGGGCAGGGTTTTAAAAGATTTTATTTTATTTATGCACTTATTTGAGAGGCAAATATTTGAGAGGATGGGGGAGAGAGGGAGAAATAGAGAGAGAGATCTTTCATGTGCTGGTTCACTCCCTAAACGGCTACAACAACCAGGGCTAGGCCAAGCCCAGACCAAAAGCCAAGAACTCTATCTAGGTCTCCCACATGGGTGGCAGGAGTCCAGGCATTTGGACCATCTTCTGTTGGTTTCCCAGGTGCATTAGCAGATAACTGGATTGGAAAGTGGAGTAGCCAGGACTCGAACCAGAACTCCGAGATGGGATGCTGATGTTTCAAGTTGTGGCTTAACGTTTTGTGTCACCATGCTGGCCCTGTGGGCAGGCTTTTAGAGAATATTATGCTAATGGTTTGTCACAGGTCATGAAGTACCAGCTATCATATGATACTAGCTTTTATTAGAGACAAAAGGTTCTTGGACTTTGAGAGGTTCCTATTACTGAGCAGCCGTTCCAAGCAATGACTAACATGTTCTGCCAAGTGGCCGCAATGGGCCTAGTGTGAGGGTCTGGAGCCTGGAAGAGAAATGGGGCTGGAGGACGGCCTTTCTCTAACCCAAACACAGTAGGTGGTGTTCTTGTTTAAGCCCCAGTCTCACTGTGAGGCTTGTTCTGGATTTTTGGTGAAGAAGACAGGGCCGAGGCCCGTCCAGGACATGTGGAGGTGATGCCAGTGGCCCACAGCGGGAAGGGCAGGCCCGAGATGCTGGCTTCTTTCTGGGATCTTGAACTGAGCCTCTGCCAACCTTCCCAGTGACTGCTTCTTAGAACTGTAGTGAGCTTTGCTGTTGACTGCAGTCGGCATCTGTTGTGTGTCTGGGGGCTGTGCCAGGTGCCTAGAATATTTACAGGTAGAGCAGACTCACCTGCCTTTAACTCCCGTAGTCCAGAGCTGGTGGCTCTCAGATCTCTCTGCTGATGTTTCCGCTGGGCCCCTGGTGGAGGAAGGTGGAGAGGACGCTCCAGGCAAGGGGATCAGCAGAACAAGGGCTCGGAGGGGTAACAACACATGGCACAAGCCGGGGATGGTGAGCAGCATGGCACGGCCGGATGAGGAGATTGTGCGGTGTGCTGGTGGCAGGATTTTACCTTTGGGGAATGGGAAGTCACTGAAGGTTTTTTTTTTTTTTTAACAGTAAAAAGACAGGAGTGCCTTTTATTTGAATCATAATAGCAGCAATTACAGTGGTTGCTATTGAGTACTTTCTTTGTTCTAGGCTTGAGCTAAAATGCTGTAGAGTTATCTTATTGGATTCTACTTCATAGATGAGCCTTGGAGAGTTCATGAGACCCAACCACATAGCCACAGAGCTGGGGCAAACTAGCTCTCCAACCCTGAAGCCTGTGCTATCGACTGCTCCCTGTGCTCAGTGCTCTCAGCTATAATACCTACCCCCCCTGAGTTGCTGTAGTTAAGTTGGAGAGCATGTGTAATGCACTTGGTACAGTTTCTGGCATGATATGAGAGATCAATGAATTTTAACTGTTGTTATTTTTATTATCATTGCTATTATCTGTCTAGAGAATGTACCTTGGCGTGCCAGATGCTGGGTGGTACCTTTATTGCAGGAGTTGGCATCCAGTGAAATGGGCTAATAAAGCCGCTGGCCAGAGTAGGGGGCAGAATCAGACACTCCCAGCAGCATCTGCCCGCCCCCCCCCGGTTGCCATGGTTTTGATCTGGGCAGCTGATTCTTCTGTTGCTGGGGCCTCTGCAGCCCAGGCCCAAGTGGCCCTGTCCCACCTGGAGTTGTTGCATACCTGGTTCCCTGGGGTTGCCTCCTGCCTCCCTCTCTAGTTTCAGGTTTGCTACAGCTGGGCAGGGGTAGACCCCACAGGTGGAAGAAGGGAATGAACCTGTGGGACCAAAGGCCAGGAGACCACTGGAAATTTCCAGGAGACTAGAGAAGGTAGGAAGGGGCCTGGGCCATAGGACCAGAGAGAGAGAGGTGGGGGAACAGATCTAAGAAATATGTACGGTTTAGACGTGGTAGGCTGTGATGCTCTGACACTGAAGAGAGGAGAGAGGGAGAAGATAAAAATAAGTGGCGTTTCAGAGCTGGTGCTGTGGGGTAGTAGGTTAAATCTATGCCTGTGGTGCCAGCATCATTTTCCGGCTGCTCCTCTTCCCATCCAGCTCTCTGCTTATGGCCTGGGATAAAAGTAGAAGACGGCCCAAGTGCTTGGGCCCCTGAACTCCCCATGTGGGAGACCTGGAGGAAGTGCCTGGTTCCTGGCTTCAGATCAGCTCAGCTCCGGCCATTGTGGCCATTTGCAGAGTAAACTCCAGTGAACTCTACCTCTCAAATAAATAAATAAAATCTTAAAAAAATAAGTGATGTTTCTAGTTTGAGCGCTATGATGGCTCTCTTTTTCCTTTCTCTGCTTTGCCCAGTGGACCTCAACCACCCACTCTGCTGGCCTCAGGTGTCACCTCCAGGCTGACACCTCCCAGCTGCCTGAGCTCCAGCCATGAACCCTGGGCTACCCCTCCCCCTTCCCTTGCATGTCTCTTAGGCCTTTCAAATTCCACACTTCCAAAGTGGAGCTCAAAACGGAAACCCTAAATGATTTGTCTTTCCTACCTCCAAACCTGCCTCCCCATCTCAGTAAAAGGTACCAACCCCCGCCCCCCCCGCAGGGACATCCCCAACACCACCCTCTCTCTGCCCCGTCATCATCCCTACTTTGGAAATACATCACAAAGTGGCCACCTGTCTCCATCTGCATTGCCCCCATCGAAGGTCAATCACCACCGTCTCTCATCTGGCCTCCCCTCTTCCATTGCAGCTCCAAATTACAGACACAGTGACCCTGAGGAACACAGATCTTATTCAATGACTTCCAGCTGTTCCCAGGGTAACCACCATCTTTTCACAGCTTATGACATGGGGGCAGGTGTTGTGGTTAAGTCACTGCTTGGAATAGCCACACCCCGTATTGGAATGCTATTTTGAGTCCTGGAACCTCTGCTTCTGGTCCACTTCCTGCTAATTCCTCATGGGAGGCAGAGGATGATGGCTTAAGTGCGTGGGCTCCTGCCACCCACGTGGGAGACCTGGATTGAGTCCTGGGTCTCCTGACTTTGGCTTGGCTGTTGTGGTCATTTGAGGAATGAAGTAGCGGATGGAAGATTTCTCTCTTGCTCTTTCTGTCACTCTGCCTTTCAAGTAGATGAAAATAAATAAACATTCTAAAAAAAGAATCAAGAATATTAAAAAAAATATTTTACAGGCAGAGATTCAGAGAGAAAGAGAGAGCGAGAAATTCTTCTATCTGCTGACTCCCTTCTCAAATGGCTGCATTAGTCAGGGCTGGGCAGGCTGAAGCCAATGGCCGAGAACTCCATCTGGGTCTCTCACATGGGTGGCAGAGGCCCAAGTACTTGGGCTATCTTCCACTGCTTTTCCAGACACATTAACAGGGAGCTGAATCAGAAGCACAGCGGCTGGGACTGAAACTGGTGCTCCAATATGGAATGCCAGTGTTGCAAGTGGTGGCTTAACCCACTCCTCCACAGCACTGGCCACAGAGTATTAAAATAAAAAGTTCTATACTAGCTCTCAGTTTCCTTCAATGAACCCTCTCCCTGTCACTCATTTCTCTTTAGCTCCATGGCTTCCTTGTGGTCTCCACAACATACCGACTCTTTCCTTCCCCGGGTCTTCATCCATCACTCACCATTGCTATCGACATCTGGAATATTCTTCCTTGCCTTTGCATGGCCGGTGCCTTCTCATCCATTTAACTCCGGCTTAATTTTTCACTCAGTTGATCACTGCCTGTAAGCTGCCTAAGTTCCCCATCCTCTCCGCATCCTCTTTAGCCAATCATTTCGTGAAGAGGTTGCACTGATCACAACTTGAAGTTTTCAAATTTGTTCTTGTTTATTGTCTGCATTCCCCACTAGAGTGTCAGCTCTGAGGGCAGCCTGACACATGGGAAGTGTCACCAAGTGTCTGTTGAGTTAGCAAGAGGGAGACAATGGGGCCGTGAGAACACTGATATTCAAGGGGTGGACAGAGGAATGGTCAAGGTGATCTCTGAGCAGTGGACAGAAGCTTGGGTGTCAGTGACCAAGGGAGGAGCAATGCGACAGTTGGGGGGTTCTTTGGACTGCAGGTGAGAGCAAACCTGTGCAGAACTGTTTTTCTCACAGTCTGGATGTTCATTAGCAAAGCTCTGTGTCAGTGTCATTGAGGTGCACTTGGCCTTCCCTCAGCTTTGGGCATCACGTCTGGACTGAGTGCAAGTACAATGGGACAGAGGTCTCCTCTGGACTCTTGCTGGTAGGATGTAGGGTTGGTCTCCAGAAGGCCCCAGCCAACCTGCCTCTGTATTCCACCCATCAGAAAGGACACATGCCCACCCTGGAACCCGGGGCTGTGTCTGTCCCGCTGAGGTTGAAAATCCTCTTTCCTGTCCCTGAATAAATAGGATTCTTTCCACTAGGGATTAAGCATCAAACTGTGCTCGCCTTACACACTTTTCACAGAGAAGAGTCTTCCTGCTGGGCTAACAGATGTAAGACGTCAAGTGGGGTGGGTGTGGAGAAGCAGCCCTTGGGTTTGACATGTGGATGAGGTGTGCCCCTCAAGGGGACAGATTCTAAAGAGTGATAGGGTGAGCCTGCAGATGCAGGGACTCAGAATTACTGGAAGGAGCACAGGAGATGAGAATAGACCACCTGGAGTTCTGAGGTTAAAGCAGAGAGTGGGGCAATCCCCTGGTGCAGGAGGCAGACACAGTGCTATCTGCAGTTTCAGGCAGACTTGAAGATGGTAATAGACTGAGCAAGAGGAGTCAGCAGGAGGGAGAGACTAAAGATTTTGGAGCAACGCGGGGTAGTTGATTCCCTTGCCCGTGGGGTTGGGATCAAGTGCACAGAGCTGATGGCTGTTGCTGGAACAAGTGGGGAGACTTCTCTAAGAAGACTCAGTGGCTCTCAGGTGGGAGTTACGAGGGTAGAGGTAAAACACCAAGATGCCCAGTGACGATTCCTCTGGCTTTCCTTTGTGTGATAAGGGACTCATTCAGAGATGGCACCTGTAGCCTTCACCTGTCTGTCACCTTTGTTTTGACATCCTGATATAATAGACTCTGAAAAAAGAAAAAAAAAACAAAAAACAAAAAACAAAACCCAGCTCCTATCTTTGCGGTTGTGCGCTGGAAAGTCCAAGGACAAAGCCCATCCTTGAACTTTCTTGTTCAGATCAGTGGAGCCGCCCAGTGCATAGTCATGGGTGTGGCGATTATGGGATGCAATCCAGAGGGTGCAGGTCACTCAACAGACAGCCCAGGACTGCCAGATCCTGCAGAGTCAGATGGGCAGCAGGCTGGAGCCGGGAGAGAGAGCCCTGGGTTGGGCAGACAGTACTTGGGGTCCAGGTCCAGGCCCTGCACTTAGAAGCTGGAGTTCACTGGTGCCCTTGGAGCCCACGAGCTCATCTGCAGAGGATAGGGCGGGGGCGGCTCGTCTCTTCCCTCCCCTGCTGACAGTCATAGAATGTGCTGGCTCCTAGCAGGGAGTTCATGGAAGGCCCTCTTGCTGCTATCACCACCCTTCCCCTGGGGAGCCTGACCCTGCTCTGGGTGGGCCCAGCATAGGATGCGACTTTTTCGGCACCACTACCCCTGGTCTCTCACTTCTGGCGTCGTTCTCCATCTGTTTTGTGGGCTGATGGCATGGGGCCCAGCGAGTAGGGTTGAGAGCCAAACCCTTCTTCTCTATTTATTCAGATGGTAGCTATGGATGCAGTAAAAAAGCAAACAGAAGTCTGACTAGAGATATGAGCTCCGTATTCCACAGCAGTTAAAGCCTATGTCCACTTACGTAGGAGGCATAAAACACAATGCTGTTAAAATGAATAATGGCCCCAGTGGAAAAAATGCATTTGTAAGAAAAGGTTCTTGGCGAGAATGTTCAGATACATGCAGGTCTGACTGACACCAGCTTCGTGTGGCTCCTCAGTGGCTCTCCACGGCCTGGACATTGTTGCTTCCCCAAGCAGGGAGACTGGAAGGAACACTTTTTCTCTTAGGCCACCCTGTCTGCCCAGTATGTGGGGTAAGACTTGGACCTGGGAGGGGCTCTGAGGATGTCTCCCATTGTGATTGGGGGAGGTTGATATTGGGAATAAGTGAGGCACAAGATTGCTTGGTCCCATCAGAGCTGTCCCATGCATGCCTGCCACCCATGTGGGAGCCCTGGCTTCCAGCTCCTGGCTTCAGGCTGGGCCTGCCTGGGCTGTTGCAGGCACTTGCGAAGTGAACCAGCAGATGGAAGACCTCTCTTGGTCTGTCTCTCTGTCATTCAGATAAATAAATAAATAAACAGCTGCATCAATCAGGTCAGCCCAGACTCTGGGCTCAGCCACTTGCTCTCCCTTAGAGGGGATTCGCAGTGGTTTCCTCCTCCGGGGATGGCTACGGGGATTCAACGAGTTTTAGACGCGCAGTGTTTAGCAGAGTGTCTGGCACAGCATCAGTGCTCTTGTGCCAGTGCATCGCCCAGATGGGGTCAGTCAGTCATTTGGCAAACACAGGGTGCCAGGAGCTTGTCCCCATGTAACCTGTGGGTGGCCTCTGTGCCCTCCAGGAATGAGAATGCAGCAGGAGAAAGGAAGTGGCCGCTTTGGAAAGCACACGCGGCCTCTGGGACTGGCCCTTCCCTGCGGCTCGGACGTCCTGGAGGGTGAGCCGGGCTGGGCGGGCCGCGCTGTCAGCTGGCTCAGCTCAGTCTGCTGGCGGCCAAAGCCGGGAGAAAGGAGAATCTGGTATTCATTGTGCAGTTGTTTCGAATTTCCTTCTGCTTTCGAGATCCTCTTCTAAGGGAGAACAATGCCTTGAACAACCTGGGCACCTGCGAGAAGACAACGGCCAGGCTCTTACAGGCCAATGGCTTTGGTTC